ACTGCAGCTCAAGGGTTCCTTCAGTAGTTGGAAACAGTGCCTTGGTGGCAGACACGAGACTGGGGATGGAATGGCACCCTAAGACTAAAGATTCCTTCATTGTGTTGGTGTTGGGGCCATTGAGCCGGCTCCAACCCAGAGTGACCCCGTGCACGACAGACGGTAATGCTGCCCGGTCCTGTGCCAGCCGCACCATGGCTCCTGTGCCTGAGCCCACTGAGGCAGCTTTGGAAACAGCCCCTTTTTAACAACCAAAACGGTGAGTGTACACGTGGGCCTTACCAGATGAATATGCAAGAATCAAATGGAAGACATCTGTGGGAGGAGATGGGGGCCCCCCTGTGGGACAGACTAGCGATTGCTCATATGTAAATTTAGGCTAAAGCTAAAGAAAAGTAAAACAAGTCCACGAGAGCCAAATACAGCCTTGAAATTATCACGCCTAACTTTAGAGGACACCTCAAGAATGGATTCGGCGGTTGGAACGCTCATGGCAGGGGAGCTGATGAGCTGTGGGAGGACGTGAAGACCACCCTTCATGAAGAGGGAAAGCAGAAGGTCATTAAGAAGACAGGAAAGAAAGAGGAGCTCGAAGTGGACGTCACGTAGAGTTGCTGAAACACGTGACATGATGAAGTATAAGAACTGTACGGACGTTTTCAAAGGGCAGCTTGAGAAGACCATGTAAAGTGTCATGCGTGAAACCCCGGGTGGTGAAACCTATAGAGACAGACAGCAGGTAGAATAAGGGTTTTGGGGGGTGGAGGGAGCTCGGTGATGGAGGGGGGTGAAGGGGAGACGATATCAAGGAGTCCATGCAGAGAAAGAGTGTTTGGAAGCTGATTGTGGTAGCGACTGGACGGTTCTGCTGGACGTGATTAAACTATGGAATGATATGATATATAGATTAAATTTTAGAAACCCACACAAAACTTTGATAATGAAATGCACAATGACCTGGAATAGGAAGCCATGAAGGAAGAACACGCTGGACAGCTCGTAGAGCAGGTTCTCAACCTGTGGGTCGCGACCCCTTTGGGGGTTGAACGACCCTTTCACAGGGGTCGCCCGATTCATCACAGTAGCAAAATGACAGTGATGAAGTAGCAACGGAAATAATTTCATGGTTGGGCGGGGGGCGTGGTCACCACCACATGAGGAACTGTATGAAAGGGTCATGGCATTAGGAAGGTTGAGAACCAGTCTTGGAAGGAACTCAAGCAAAAAACCCAAGCCTCGAGTTGCAATGTTGAAAGATTCTACGGGCAAAACACTGAACGATGCAGGAAGCACCAAGAGAAGATGGGAAGAATACCTCCATTTTTGAGGTGTCCTCTAAAGTTAGGCATGATAATTTCAAGGTTGTATTTGGCTCTCGTGGACTTGTTTTAATTTTCTTTAGCTTTAGCCTAAATTTACATATGAGCAATCACTAGTCTGTCCCACAGGGGGGCCCCGGGCCCCCATCTCCTCCCACAGATGTCTTCCATTTGATTCTTGCATATTCGTCTGGTAAGGCCCACGTGTACACTCACCGTTTTGGTTGTTAAAAAGGGGCTGTTTCCAAAGCTGCCTCAGTGGGCTCAGGCACAGAGTCACTGAACCAGAAAGAAATGGTCAACGTTCCACCATTTCAGGTTGCATGTGATCAAGAACCGGTGGTGCTGAAGGAAGACGTCTGAGCTGCTGAAAGCAGTAGCCAAAACACACGGCTCCAGGAATAGATGGAATTCCAACTGAAACGCTTCAACAAGCAGACGGAGCCCGGGAGCACTCACTCATCTGTGCCAAGAAATTTGGGAGACGGGCTCACTTGGCCAGCTGACTAGGAGAAGTCCATGTTTATGCTCATTGAAAGGGAAGGTCACCCAGCAGGGTGCAGGAATGATCAAAGCATACCATTAACACCGCACCCCTAGAATTTAGCTGAAGATAATTTAAAAATGGTTGCCAGAAACTCAAGGAGCGTTCAGAAGAGGACAGGGCACTAGGACTCTCCTCCCAGGCCTCTGCGCCGGCCAACGAGGCAGGCGGGGCTGGGGGCATTGGCCTCCAGGCGGAGTCTGACCCTTCCAGGTTTGCACCCCTCATGTCACTGAGCGCCCTTTTGTGGGGACTGCTCAGCTGCTTCAGCCTATTTTCCACAGAACTGAGGCCAGTGGTGACCACCTGGAGACAGGACACACAGACAGGGAGGTATGTCTTCATAGGCGCTCAGCCTGGCTTGGGGACCACCCCCCACAAGTATCAGTTTCTTCTGCTATTACACCTGAAGGACACTTGTTACAACCAAAGAATTCATCTGGATACATTGTTATTCGCTAGGAGACTTGGGGGGCGTGTAGTGGTTATGAGTTGGCTTGCTGACATCGAGGTCACCAGTTTGCAACCACCTGCGGCTCAGAGGGAGAACGGGGAGGCTTTCTACTCCCGTAAAGAGTTACAATCAAGAAAAGAAACAGAGTTACAGTCTTGGAAACCCACGGGGGCAGCTCTGCCTTGTCCTAGCGGGTCTCCGTGAGTCCGGGTCTCCGTGAGTCAGCACCGACTGACTGCAGTCAGAGAGCTGTCCTGGGTTACAGGAAGGTTCACATGTCTGGGTCCAGATGCATAAGCAACCTCCAGCGCCGTCATTTAGTTCTTGTCACTGTGTGCTGTCCGACGTCAGTTCTGACTCGGCCACCCCACCTGTGGAGCCGAGCCGCCACAGCCACTGCCGCACAGGGTTTGCTATGCTGCCTTTTAAAAAAAATTTTAGGCTAAAATTTAACATCTTTGTTTTCCCTTTTAACCTATTCTTCATTTGTTCTATTTTTTCATTTTCTGCTTTAAAAAATTAAAATATCGTTTTATTGGGGCCTCTTATAACAATCTTATAAGCACCCATTGTTTCAAGTGTATTTGCACATATGTTGCCATCATTTTCTAAACACTTACTTTCTGCTTGAGCCCTTGGTATCAGCGCCTCTTTTTTCTCTCCCTCCCCACCCTCCTGACCCCTTGATAAGTCGTAAATTATTAACTATGCTGTTTTTTATTATGGGAGCAGATTGTCGGGGCTTCTGCAGAGCCACAGCTGGCTTTGAACTGCCAACCTCTAGGCACCTTGATGCAGCTTTAAACTGTCCTAAACGTGTGGCCCAGAGTTGAGTTAATTCCACGCGCATTGAGCTTAGAGGACAGAGCAGAACTGCCCCCTGGGGGCCGAGGCCTCCTCACCCTCCTAGACGCAGGGGTCTGTCCTTCCCCGGGGGTGTCATCCTCCTAGATGCAGGGGTCTGTTCTTTTCTGGGGGCGTCATCCTCCTAGACACAGGGGTCTGCCCTTCTCCGGGGTGTCACCCTCCTAGACGCAGGGGTCCTCCCTTCTCAGGGTGTCACCCTCCTAGACGCAGGGGTCCGTCCTTCCCTGGGGGCAGTGGCTGGTGGGTTTGGAATGCCAGGCTTTCAGTTAGCGTTCAGAATGCTTCCTCC